ATCTGTGGGATGTAATTCCAAGAGCAAAATCTTTTTGGTACAGATGCAGCATTCCAGGCCAATCCGTTATTTTGAATGGGCTCTGGAAGAAACTCCGAGGCCCAGCAGATGCGAGAGCCCTCTGAAGAGAAAGAGGACATTGTCAGGCAGTGCGCAGGAGACCAAGCGCTGCAGACTTGATGTTTCTGAGCTGCCTGACAGGTAAATCCTTTTTTGCTTCTGATAGCAGCAAGTACATAGCATCATGGAATCCCAGAATTGTTTTGGCTGGACAAGAGAATTTCTTGTTCTCATTTGGTCATCTGATAATGCAGTTGTTTTTGAGTTGCAGATCTTTCATGAGAGATGTCTGACAGCTTAAAACAAAAAGCTGTCTTGATAGTGGAACTAGAATTATTTTAACGAAGTTGATGTGATGCTTTTCTTGCAGTGCCTCTTCCGAAACCAAGGACGATCAAGGATGGGCTGCTGGGCCTCAGAGCAGCAACTCATCGGCTCAGTGTGGGGTGAGTCGTTCCAAAAGGAAAGACAAGACTCAGCACACAACTGTTTTTGATCTATGTATATACAAAGACATACACACATAGAATTCTTAAATCTTTTTGCTTAAAAGAAAACTTCAGGCACTGAGATCCTAAAGTAAAATTCAGTGAACCAATCTTTGCAAAGGAAAGCAATTGTGTTGTAATTTGGTGTTGCCTTTCCACTTTGAGGATCTCGCCTGTAAATGTGCCCCATGCCATGTTTTTGTCCTGAATGTGCCCCATGCCATGCTTTTGTCTTGAATACACTCATGTTTATTCATTGCCTAGATGATCCTGACGAGTCCTCCAAGAAGTGGATCCAACAGCGTGGAGGAGAACTGCCAGGGTCACCCCATCTGTGAGACAGGAGACATCCTCTGTGCAAGATGTACAGAATATAATATTAGCTTTTCAGATAGAATAGGTTCTGCTAGCAAGTCTTTTCTTTCTGTCTGGGCTTTCTGTCTTAGGGGGTGGAGATGGTTGCTCCTTTTCTGTACATGTCTTTCTTCTTTTCCTCTTTTCCTCCTTTCATCCCCAAAAAAACTGTAAATGCAGCTAATGAAGCTACTGGATCGAGATCCCTGTAAATGTGCCTTGATGAGAGTTGTCCAGTAACATCTCTCCAACTGGAGATTTTCCATGTAACGAGGCACAGTCGAGAGGAACCCACTTGTTCTGTTTGTTTGCTCCATTTTTGTGTGTTGGCTTGTTTTCTCAATACCTAAGTAACCATACAACTTGTCTGACTGACAGTTCTGTTCTTTCTAGATGAAGTCGTTGCTACGTTGGGTGAGGGGACTTTTGGACAGGTTGTGGAGTGCATCGATCACAAGGAGTAAGTCTTTTTAAGTAACCACACACAGTTTTTCTGGCTGATGCTCTCAGAGTGTGGCTCAGGAAGTGCTCTCTGGTTGCATTGGAGTTGATCTTTACTTGAAGACCTTTTCTGAAAAGGTTTCCCATTGTTATCAGCAGTGCAGGTGGTGATAATTGCTCAAAATTCTTAGGTAAACCTCCTCCATGTTCTAAGCCCAGTTAAAAACCTTTCTTTCCAGGAACGGCAGACATGTAGCTGTGAAAATAATCAAGGAGGCTGATGGGAGCTCGGAGGAAGCCTTTGCAGAAGTTCGAGCGCTGCGCTACTTACGTGCCCTGGACCCCAGCAGCACACAGTGAGTGCACAAAGCCTTGTCCTGGCCTTTGGCTTTCAGCTTCCTGTGACACACGGAGCTTTGCGAATACGGGATGTATGTAGCAGAGCGTGATACAGCTTGCTGCTGCAATTCCTGCATTTTCCTGCTTCTGCAGCCACTGTGTCCAGATGCTCGACTGGTTTGAACACCGAGGCCACGTCTGCATCGTGCTGGAGCTGCTGGGGCTCAGCACCTTTGACTTGATGAAGGAGAACGGCTTCCTCCCCTTCAGGCTGGACCACATCAGGCAGATGGCCTATCAGATCTGCCAGGCTGTGAACTGCAAGTATCTTTCTTTTTTGCTTGATTTGTTAGGTTTTCTTTGTGGTATTTGCTAACAAGCATTGTTATCTTGCAGTTCTGCACCTCAACAAGCTGACGCACACAGACCTGAAGCCAGAAAATATCTTACTGGCGTCATCTGCCTACACGGAGGAGTACAATCCCAGCCTGGGAAGTTGCGGTCATCTTCCCCACCTCCCCTCAGCCATCCTCTGGCTTTCCTTGGGCACTAGCCTCCCATTGTTTCATTGTAGAAGCGTAAAGAGCGCAGACCCAAACATCCCGACATCAAGGTTGGGGACTTCGGGAGCGCCACACGTGATGACGAACATCACTGCACGGTGGTGACCACGAGACCGTACCGAGCTCCCGAAGTGATCCTAGGTCAGTAGGAGTCTGTTGGGCACAGCTTTGGCCTAAGATTCCTGGTGGCTATTGAAAGGTGCTACAGAAGTGTGGCCCATCTTGCTTGAGCTGTTGACTTGTTTTCAGCCTGGCATAAACGTGAGCCTTCTGGATCTTTTCACAGGCCTCCCCTTGTTTCCTTGTAGAAGTGTGACGAGCGCAGACCCAAACATCCCAGCATCAAGGTTGGGGACTTCGGGTGCGCCACACGTGATTACGAACATCACTGCACGGTGGTGACCACGAGACCGTACCGAGCTCCCGAAGTGATCCTAGGTCAGGAGGAGTCTGTTGGGCACAGCTTGGGCCCCAGATTCCTGGTGCCTGTTGAAAGGTGCTACAGGAGTGTGGCCCATCTTGCTTGAGCTGTTTACTTGATTTCAGCCTGGTCTGAAGGTGAGCCTTCTGGGTCTTTCCACAGGCCTGGGATGGTCACAGCCCTGCGATGTCTGGAGCATCGGATGTATCCTCCTGGAATACTACCTGGGATCCCCAATCTTCCCGGTAGGCACCTGGGAGCCAGCCAGCTTGGCAGGAAGGGTGGCCCATTCACATCTGGAATTGACAAGCCACGCTGAAGGCAGGTCATTGTGTGGTCTTGGATCACTCCTGCTGCTAATGACCAACAATGTCTGTCTGGATTTCCCTTCAGGTCAATGAAGACAAAGAACACCTGGCAATGATGGAGAGAATCCTGGGGCCTTTGCCAAGTGACATGATCAAGACAAGCAGGTAATTCCATTTCTCCATACCTGGACTGATAGAGTTCCATTGAAATACCTTCAGATTTGGTCAAATGGAAATTTAAAAAAAAGGAGAAGTTTAATAGGTTCACATTCATCCTTTGGTCTGTTTCCCAAACTGGCCCCTCTTGTGGAATCTTCCCAGCTCCTTCCCGAGATGCGGACCAACCTGCTGATCAAGTGCTTGTAGTGCAGGGACAAAACAGCCCCTCTGAGTAACACCCTGTGGTCTGATTGTTGCAGCAAAGGCAGGTATTTCCATCATGACCGGGTGGACTGGGACGAAGGAAGCTCTGCTGGGAGTTACGTGTCCTGGTGGTGTAAGCCCCTGAAGGTAAGAGGGCTGAGGGAAAATTGCTGCGGAGAGGACCTTTCCATGCAAAGACACAATTACAAAAATGTGTTCTGTTCTTCATGAAGGCATTCATGACCAGCTATAGTGACGAGCACGAGGACTTTTTTGATCTGATTGACAAGATGCTTCGTTATGACCCAGCAGAGCGAATTACTCTGAGAGAAGCCCTGAAACACCCTTTCTTCCTCCCCCTGAGACGGGCGAAAAGGGCGCTGCCTTCTGGGGCTGGGGAGGCTGAGCCAGGACTCTGTCCCCCCAGGAAGCGGTGGAAGATGTTTGTTGGGTAGGGTTGTTTTGTTCAGGTGTTAGGTGTTCAGGTGTTTTGGTGTTAGGATGTTTTGGGTAGTGTAGTTTGTTAGTGTAGTGTAGTTTGTTGCAGCTGTTGAAATAAAACTGAAGTCAGAAAAAGACAGTGCTGAACGTGGTTGTGTTTCCTGCGTGCGTGAAGGTCTTGGGACAGTGGCACTTGGAAAGGTGCCCGGGTGTCCTAGGGCTCTGTCCTCCTGCTGAGTGGTCTCCACAGGGAGACTTCCAATACCTGTAACACACAAGACGTTGCCCTGTCCCAGTGACCTGAGGACTGGATCACTGCACACCCCCCAACTCCTCCAGCTGTTCCACTTGAAAATTGGTAGCTGAGCTAGGAACATTTCCATACTCTGAGCCCCACTCCTGACAGGCCTGGCCACACAGCTTCTTTACAGGTGGGTGAAATCCCAGGCAGACCTTTTCCAGGCTGGCCAGACAACAGAAAGAGTCCTCCTCCCAGCCTGGATTTCAGATGGGTCCCTGCCACCCAGACCCCTTCTCAATCTACAGATTGAGGCGAGGAGGAAATTGAAAGCCTAAATCTACAAGTGTCACTTGTTCGTGTTTCCTTGTTATGTGGGGGTTTTGTTGCTGTTGTTGGCTTGTTTTCTTTTCCCTCCTCCTTTTCAAGTTCCTGAGAAGGGGTGTTGAGGGGTCCCCCTGAGGGGTACCCTTGAGGGGAACCACTGAGGGGTCCCCTTGAGGGGTTCCTCACCAGCCCCGCTGGCTGGGAGAGCCTCAAGACGGCAGGTGCCTGCTGCACCAGGTACACTGGGGAAGAGAAACTGCGTTGTGCTCTTCACACAGAAGAGCTCACCTGGAGAGGAACTCCAGGTTGGATCAAGCACTGCCTGGATGGTCGGGCTCAGGGTGGGATCTATGGAATCAAATCCAGCTGGGGCTAGTCACAAGTGGTGTTCCTCAGGGCTCAGTGTTGGAACCATTTCTGTTTAACATCTTTATTGATGATCTTGATAAGGACATAGAGTTATCATCAGTGAGTTTGCAGATGACACCAAGCTAGGCATGAGTGCTGATCTGCATGAGGATAGGGAGGCTCTACAGAGAGACCTGGATAGATTGGATTGTTGGGCTAATGTTAATGGTCTGGGCTTCAACAAGGCCAAGTGCTGGGTCCTGCACTTGGGCCACAACAACCCCAGGCAATGCTCCAGGCTTGGGGAAGTGTGGCTGGAAAGTGGCTGGCAGAAAAGGACCTGGGGGTTCTAATTGACAAGTGGCTGAATATGAGCCAGCAGTGTGCCCAGGTGGCCAAGAAGTCCAGTGGCATCCTGGCTTGTATTAGTGTGACCAGCAGAAGCAGACAGGTGATTGTCCCCCTGTCCTCAGCACTGGTGAGGCCACACCTGGAGTACTGCATCCAGTCTTGGGCACCTCAATTCAAGAGAGATATTAAGGTGCTGGAGCGAGGACAGAGGAGGCAACAAAGCTGGTGAAGGGCCTAGAAAATCAATCTGATGAAGAAGGCTTGAAGGAGCTGGGAATGTTTAGTTGGAGGAAGAGGAGGCTGAGGGGAGGCCTCAGCAGTCTCTACAACCACCTGAAAGGTCATTGTAGAGAGGTTGGTGCTGGTCTCTTCTCAC